GTTTTTTTTTTTTTTTTTTTTTTTTTTTTTTTTTATATAAGGTGAAAAGGAAACAAGAAAGGACTTGTGAGCATTTCTGCACTGATTTTTACTACAATTGATTTCAAGTATTAATGCCAATAAAGAGAAAGCAAAAGGGAAAAATTTGAAAAAAGTGAGAGAAGCAATGGACTTATCGTAAAAACTTTAAAAATTGACGTGATTTATTAGTGTTTTAAATCACATATCTAATTCTACAATTTCGCTCTTGTTTTTTTTAATTTTTTGAACAATTTGTTCACTTGATTCTAATGAGGTGATCTGTTTCGGAGACTATTATAGTGTTTTAATTTTTTATTTAAAAACTAGAACTTCTACCTGACATACGGGTCTTGAACTGCTGCAACAATAGGTGATGACGATGATTATGGTCAAAATTAATACGTATATTTAATGGAACAGTTGTGATTACTAAAAGACGCAAAAAAAAAAAAAAAACAGATCTGTCGGTCATTTGCACTGTATTCAAAAGAAAAAAAAATTTTTTTATAGCATGCAATAGAAGTCAGTGAGATAATTTAGGAACAGAAAAGGTACGAAGAAGTAGGAGGAAAAAGTGAATAATTAGTACTTTATTCGTGTTCTTTGTTTTTTTTCTTCCGTCTTCAATTAAAAATCTGTCTAATGAGTTCAAAAACTGTTTAATTACGAACATTTATATATATTTTTTAGTTTATGATGGCACTGCATGGTAATTGCAATCTATTTTTGAACCTTTTGGATTGCTGAAAATGTGCAGTGCAGCGTCAAGAAATCATCTCTCTACTGGTCAGTAACAAATGCCAAATTACCACTACTTGGTTTTTGCACAGTATAACAACTGCTGTTCTTCAACAGCTATACCTGTTCTCTTTTTCTTTTTTTTTTCCGTTTGGAGGGAGGGACGAGAGAATCTTTCGATATCGTTACTGTTACTGTTACTACTGCTGTTGTTGTTGCTGTTGCTGCTGTTTCTGTAGTTATTTAAAATATTGAAATTTCTCTCGTCATCATTATCGTCTTCTTCTTCTTCTTCTTCTTCACCTGTACCTCTTCAGCAACTTGTTTTCTGAAGTGCTTCTGAGAAAAAAAAAATTTTTTTTAACTTTAAGAAACAGAAAATAACATGTATTGGAAAAAAATCAGTAATATTTTTTTGTTGATTTTTCAACGCAAATGATATTTGTAAAACGGATTATAAATAATCAAAATCTAACATAAATTTTTTTTTCTTTTTCCTGATATTTTTGTTGTTTTTAATATAATTGTTCAACATTTTATTTTCTTTCTTTAATTTATCTATATAAAAAAATTATTTTTTATTGCTATATTATTGATACTATTATATTTGAGGTGAACTATTTGAGGCAAGTATTTTCGTAGACGAC